ACTGCTGTTCGTAGGCAACTGAACCACCATGCAGGGTCAGCTTTCTGTGAACGTTCACTTGACTGCAATTGAAACGCTGCCTACTTTGCTGCCCCTGAAGACTACATCTTCGTTAAACTTAACAGTGTACGCTTCAGAACTGGCAGCAGAATTTTGAACTCACATCACTGGGGTAACTGTACTGTCAAAACTGACTCCTGCGGGTGGACGACACACACTGGCGCCCGTAGAAGCCTTCAATTCAAAGCACTGAAAAGTTTGGGATAGTTTTAGGCTGCTATACATGTGTTTCCTTCATCTGCTTTTGGAGCAAAACAGTTCGATGCGCACAGGGTTTGGCTAAAACGACTCACCCTTCTGGGCCAGCAGGTGGCAACGAAGGTGCCACCGTGGCGTCCTACCGCGCGACCATCGCAGCCTGTGGACAAAGCAGCCGCCTGAAGCTGAGCGACCAATCCCAGCCAACGGGCTTTGGATGTTGGGATCCACCTCAACCAGACATGAGGATGTTCGGGGAGACAATTCTAACTTGCATAAGACATATGTTGACCATATATCCATATAATTACATCCCCTGTGAAATTTCCTCTACAAATTTGGTCAACCCAGGTGTTGGAAAAATCATTTTGTAGTTAGAGAAAACATTGGTCTTCTACAGAATCACTGTCCTGGGTGTTCCTGATTTGTAGAGTGATCAGGGTAGATTTTGAGCATGTTAGCAAACACATGATTTGCAAGGCAGGGACAATTGTATAGAAACGGCATTTTTTACATATCTTTCCGTTGACTCGAGCATGTGCACTCACCCACCATAATTTTGTAGAGGGTCAGACGGGTCAGAACCCATTTTGTGGAGATGGTTGTTTAAGCATCTTCCTGTTGACGCAAATTTATGTGAGCGCACTATGGCCAACCCCCAACCCAATATGATAGACTTAAGGTTTCTATCTTGGGGCCTGATTTTATAGATGGATTGGTTGGTTTGGACCTGGGGTGCCGCATTTGTAGGTACAAAATGCCCCTCTGCGGTTGTCGTGTGATTTTTACAGTGGATATAATTACTCCGATTTCACTGTTGGCATTTTTAGATCTTCCACATAATCCAGGAAACCTCCGGTTCGTTTCGGTTCCTTGAAACTGGAATGATGGGCGGTTCGGTTCGCAAATACAAACGGTTCGTTTCGGTTTTCGTGAGAATCGGTTCGGTTCGGTTCGGTTCCTTCATTTTAATATACAACAGGAGGCGGCGTTTAATGCAAAGGGTTTGGCAGATCACAGCACAGTCTCCGGAGTTTCCATAAACTGAGACCCATGGGGTTCCTTTTGGGTGAATTCAAAAAAGGCCTGAAAGTGACTTTTGGTTTCAGAAAATCGTTTTTGGAATTATTTGGACGATTGCCACTTCGATATCATGTTTGGACTGGTCGAAACCGTTTGTATCCGCGCAATGCGGCCAATCTGATTTTTGGTCATGCAAATTTAAAATTTGGGGTGACGGGCAGATTGGCCGCAAAATGAAACCATGACCCCGGTTCCCAAAAAGCCGATACGATTGAATGCACCATGCTTCGCCCATCATACAGATTTCTGAATGCATACATTGGGACCCCAAAAACGATTTCTAGACAACAAAATTCATTTTTGGTAGACCGCTGAATGACTGGTCTGCGTTTAAAGAAGTTGATAAGTTGATTTCCAAAAAAGATTGCATAGGTGCTGACAGACAGGCAAACCCTCGTTACTCCAATCCAGTCCAGTCCACTCCACCACACTCCACCATTCCCAATTCAATTGGGTCACATCTCTCAAATCACGAAAGCTAGCGAAGCTAGCTGGAGTTACTCTTGCGATAGCAAGGTTTCTTTCCACCGGGTGCAAATCCTAACCCCTGATTTTTCAGGTCGAAGACCCCCCCCTCCCCTCTCCCCTCTCCCCACCCCACCTCCCCTCTTCTCCTTCTTGTCTTCCTCCCACTTCCTCCCACTCCCCCTCCCTCCTCCCTCTTCGTAAGTTCAACTCCGTCCTGTCGTAGCTCTTTGGCACGCGGTTAGCGTTGCGTATCTTGCGGCCGCACTCGCTCACTCTCACTCTCACTGTCTCACTGTCTCTCTGTCTCTCTCTCTCTCTCTCATCTCTCTCATCTCTCTCATCTCTCTCATCTCTCTCATCTCTCTCATCTCTTTCTCATCTCTCTCATCTCTCTCTCCTCTCTCTCTCTCTCTCTCTCCTCTCTGTCTATCGTCTTTCCGTCTCTCTTCTCTCTCTTCTCTCGCAGGAGGATCCGGGCAAAGAGCCACATATAAAGGACTCTTCACCCCTGCCTCCAAAAAGAGCGCCGTGTTTTTTCCTACCTCGCTGCCCTCCACTTTCCCATTCTGGAGCGCTAGCTTTCGCCCCCCCCCCCCTTGGCCTCAAGTATCTTTTCAAAGACCCCACCAGTCAGGACCTTATAATAATAACAATCACTTTGGAGCTTGGACCCCACCCCACTCCATTCCACTCCATCCACTTCAACCGCAGGTGATAACCTCTGGAGGCACCCACAAAGCCACTGATCCGGAAAAAAATATTTGGTGCTTTTAAGGAAAGCTGTGATCTACCAGGTTGCGACGGTCGCAGTCTGGTAGAACCATCGCTAGCGGTAGTGAGACGCACAGCGGGGTCATGATTTCACTGGACCTGGTTCAAAAGACTGTCCTTCGCAACAAGTGACTGCGACCGTAGCTACTTTGAGGGTGCTCCAGCCAAATCAAAATCCCACTAGAGCAATCGCTAGCGGTAGTGATGGTTGTAAGGGCTTGCGACGCTCGCCACTTGGTAGATCACAGTTTTCTTTAAAAACATCAAATATTTTTCTGATTGCCGGGCCCACCAAGTGATGCTGTACGTCGTGACTACTTGATATTTATCTGTTTCCAACAGCCACAGACCAGCCAAGATGGTGTTCACCTCAGGGTTCCAGCTATTAAATCTGACTCTTTGCAAATGAGGCCATTGCTATTAGGATCGAGGCTTCTGAATAACAACTTGAAACTTATCAACTTCAACCTTATTAGTGGTGGCGTGGAGTAACGAGGTTTCCCTGTCTGTCAGCACCTATGCAATATTTTTTCGAAACCAACTTATCAACTTGTTTAAAGATGACCAGATGAGTCATATTAAATACATGATTGAATCTGATTTTCACATGGAAATCATTTTTAGACAGGTTTTATTGTACGTTGCCTGAGTACAGCAATGAATTGACATTCGATCATCGATTCCGCAAAATCTAAATACTCTCAGAAAGAAACCTTCCTGCAGTCATGGTTTCAAGCTGTGAAATCCTCGCTTGGAAAGCTTGGTTGTGACACCTGACGAGAAACGCTGTGCTTGAAAAGGTGGCCTGTGAATGTTTGCAAACACAGAAGCTAAACACACACAATAATCGAAGCAGAATGTTCCAACCAAATATGATTATATAGATAGCATTGCGGTTCGTAACGGTTCCTTGAGGCAAAAATAAACGGTTCGGTTCGGTTCGGTTTGACAGAAACTGTTTTTCAGTCCGGTTCGGTTCGTGTCGGTTCCATTGAAACTGGTACCTTTCCGGTTCGGTTCGCGGTTCGCGGTTCGGTTCCTAGGGCTTACTGATAATCATCATGATGGCAACAGCCACGTGTCGTGGCTCAGTCGGAGCAGTTGAGTGGAAAGACTGGCCTCAATAACTGGTCACTGCTTGGCGCTGCAACCAAAAAAGGCTGGAGTGCTGCTGAAATCGGTCGTGGATGGCTTAGCGCCTGAGGCTGGGATTGGTCGTTGTGGCTTCTGAGCGAGCTGCGCTCAAAGCAAAGTAACCTCCTGGATCTCGAAGTCTCGAGGCGTCGTGGGGTGCTGAACTCAGACAGATGGCGTCGACGGGGCACCAATCATGAAAGAGTTTGCTTCGGCTGCTTGTGACACTGAGGCGGTGGCATACTCCGCAGCGGTTCAAGCTTGCCGCTGGGGACCCGAAGAAATCCCAGGAGCTGGCATCGGTGTCTGGATTATGTTGGACTTTTGCGCCGAAGTTTGACGTTCGTAGTAACAAGTGCCACGCTAGTAGTAACAGGTGCCTCGCTAGTAGTAACAAGAAGCTATTAGAAACAAGAAGCATCAAGAAGCTATGGACCATGATGTTGTCCAGTGCCTCAGAGCTGAGCAACAAGGGCTTACTGGAGCCACACATACAGAAACCGGAAAGCAGTTGGCCATAGGTCCGTCTTTAAGGGGCCCAGGTAAGCCTGGAAGAACTGGCACTTCTCTATGCTTCTCTCCATTGACCCCCCTTGTTCACCACAAACTTGTAGGCTCACATGCTGTTCATTGATATCGAACCTGATTCGACGGAGAAACCTTGGACCGAGTTATTCTTTTCGACCCACCCACTGGTGAACGTTCCGTATTGATCCAGCGGTTCAGGTGTCAGCGGCCGCTGGCAGGATGCCCTCCTAGTTCTTGGCGCAATGCGCTCGGACGGCAGGGATGACCGGTCTGCCTGGCATGGTGGGGCGGTGACGGATGTTGGGACCTGCACAACGGATGCCGCATAACAAATAAACAAAATAAACAGCGCTCGCCGTTGACTGCGGAGAGTGCTATTGTGAAATGAAAACACAAGAACTTGGCAATGGGTTCCGCTCCATTGCCGAGTCTTCATGTTTACCGATAGTCAAGCATCGAAGACCAGGTGGATTCAATGTTTCAGAGATGTTTGGTTTCATTTTTTGTTTTTCTCTTCAAGTTTTTGGACTTCATAATGGGTGTGGCCACCCAGGCCCTAAGCCAGAACTTTGCAGGTGTCACCAGCAAGGGGCTGGTTGTGTAAAAGCATTCCGCTGCTTTGACGTGGTAAGTCTCACGAGACTACGCCGTATCAGATCAAGCCTTGGTTTTTGATGCTGCACAGCTCTTTTGTTGCCAATGTTCAGCACCAGAAAAGTCGCAGTTCCCATTCACATTCAGACAGGCCCCAGCCCTTAAGCAATCATCCCTGTCTAGCAGCACAGCGTTGCGCCACACTTTTGCGATGGCAGAAGTTGCTCTGAACTTAGATCATGAGCCCCGGGCAGTGGTTTGAAAACTATGCAAGACAGCGGCTGCGCTTAGGAAGAGAAGGCAGCGGAAGAAGCGAAAGAAGAAGTACAAGAAGAGAAAGCTCAAGCTCCTGAAGAGCCAGCAGAGGCTTCGAAAAAGGTAGATGAAGCCTTCGCTAAGAAGGCAGGTGGTTTAGAAGTTTAACAAGGGCCGTAGGTGCACTGATCTTGGCGCGCGACAAAAGTAACAAAAGGAAGCACAAAGACTTCTGTAGACACCCTGACCCCCACTGGAGTGACTAGAGAGAGCAAAGCGAATTCCTCCAAGTTCGGAGCCTGACTACTGTTGGGCTGGTGTCTGTCTACTGACGATGCTGCTAAAAAGCATACCTGGCTGGGGTAGACTTTGGTCTGAAGATGATGGAGGGAGGAATTTCATGCCAGCGGGACACTGAAAAATATCATTGTTTCAGCCCGCTCTTCCTTAGGAGGCGCCTGAACCGGAGGCCAAGCCCATCTATCTTGCAGGCGAGGAGTAGGACGTATTGATTCTTGGGGTCTAGAACGGTCCAGGGGTGGATCTAAATGCTATAATTAATCATATCGAATCCAAATAAGTTTTTGATTGCACCCATAGCATTTGGCCCATCACCCTGCACGGACCAGTGGAGCAAGAGTATAGGGCATAAAGGTGTGGTTCTTTTACGACAGGTCAACGTGTGTTGATGCTGCCATGCTGCTAGAAACCATCCAGTTAATGTTTGATACAGTAATAGGTGCGCCGTGGTCCACATGGTATACATGGCACAGGCCAGCATCACGGTCATGCAACCATGGAACTGGATTTTTCAACCAGCACCCTTTCACCCGCTTTCACCTCCATGTCAGGGCGAGCGTTTGCCAATCGTACAGAGCTGGCCGAGCATGTGAAGAAGATCCAGGAGAACGGAGAGAACGGGAGCGTTCGCTACTAGGAGCAAAGCCATCGCTACTAGGAGCAAGAAGCTACTAGGGGCTCCTGGCCATACGACTAGGAGCAAGCACATACATTTTAGGAGTGTTCAAGTCTCTGAGACATGTCAGCGGCTTCTTGGGCTCTCACATGTTCGTCAAGCTCAGAGACAAAGAGACGCAGCTTTGACATAAACCTCGAGATTTGCTCAGGTTTTCCTGAGGCTGCTATACCGTGCTATACCGAACTCTTGTGCCGAATTGTGATTCGGGGCTTCACACAGTAACTACTTGATTCAACTTCAATTATCCAGGATTTCAATGCGGTTCAACATTTCGCTGGCATGTGAAGGTCTCCAGATTGGATCAGCAAGTTGCTCCTTCCCCCTTTTTTCATCCCAAATTCCCTTTCCCTTTCCTTTTTGCTATTTTTCCCTCTCCTCCTTCCGCCCGTCGCTGGGCCAGCCCATATGGTCCATGTGCCACAAGTCACTTTAGACATCTCCAACAGAAGATACGTCAAGCACATTTGCTAGTAAATATAGTTTATATTTGTCAGTATATATATATATATGTAATTATTATGTCAGTTCAAGTATGTTCAAGTCTATTTCCCATCAATCTCCTCATTGTAAATGTCAAATGTCAGCCAACATTCCCGTGGGTACCTCAAAACTCACATCAACACATCTCAGTGCTGATGTCACATCAAATGTCCGTCGTCTTATCGGTCCAACTGTCAGTAAACATATCAAATACGTATATCCGTCTGTGGGATGAGTCAAAGCAGACTGGCTGATGGTGCGGCTTTTTGGGATGGGCTGGCTGGGAGAACCTTTGACCTCATTTCGAAGAACTCTACCAAAGAAGGGACCGAATTTGCAACTTTTGTGACTAGCCAAGTAGGATTCCACGTAAGTGAGTAATTTCTGTCTCGAGTCATTCAATTGGCAGTGAGACCTAGGACCTGTGCGACCTGGACAAGACCTGATTGTCGGATCTGTAACTAGTGAGTGGCCGCCGGTCATTTGGGTCATCGGGGCAGGGATCAGGCATCATCCAAGTGTGCAAAAGGTTGTCCCTAATCGAACGGAAGATCATCCATTGAGAGTTGTCCCGACCACTCGCATGGGGGAGAAAGTTATCGCGAAGCAGAGGATTGCAGCATATCAAGGTACTTGTAGTTTCCCAAATGAGGAAAAAACAAAACGTGCAACAATTTGAGAGGAAACCCTGATGCCGCTGATGCAATGTCATTGTTTACATGTTTCTATGTTTGCGTGTGCCTTTCGAAGGTCCTTCTTGCGTATAGGACAACCTGTTGCCCAAGCTGCTCAGGAGTCTCATTCTGACGCAGACCCCACCAAAGGGGAGCTCTCTGTGGAGGAGCGCTTGCAGCCAAGAGATAGGTCCAGACATAATCATAGAGTTGGGATTGTGCATTGAGTTTGGTCCTGTAAGAGTTGATTCTGTTCGGATCAAATCCCCCGTGCGCCGGTTCACGCCGTCATGGACTTTTACCATGGTTGCTTGTGATTGCTTGCTACCTTTCGTTCACCCCCTCCTCTCTCAAGTTTAGTGTGATCAATGAAAGCGAATTCAGGCAAGTTCAGATTAAATACTTTGGTATACCTTACGGATACTTTGGTTCATCATTGTGTGTTGTGCTTGCTCCAAAATTCCAATATCTCAAAAGCGCAATGAATGAACAGAAAAGAAGAGTGTGTTCAAGGTTGCTGGGGACCCAAGGCTTTGCTGAGGCCACGAATGCGGACTTCGTGCAGAGCCGAATGCCGGCCCAAGCACACTTCTTGATGCTAGGGAACACTTCCCATGGTTCCTGTTCAAACGGCCTTCTCGATGTATGAAAATAGTGATTGATGGAGGGCTTGCGGTGTGTAGTACTTCAAGCGCCAACAATTCACCAGTAAATCACCGCAAACTTGAGTGCAAGAGCACCAACTAATTAGACGGCTTTGTTTGAGCAAAGATGCGAGACCCAAAGAAGTCGCTGGGGGAGTCTATCAACAGGTCGGAACCCGGGCTGGTGCCAGATTTTGGAACACTCAAGATCAGGTATCCAAATGGATTGGACAAGATGCCATCGGTTCTTCGTAGTTAGTTTGGTCAGGTGTGTGAGCACTTTGTCCCTCAGACCTGTCCAAGGGTGGTGCTGTGGGGGCTGCGGGCGCCTGCAGGACAACCTCTTCATTTTTCATCTCCTGCTCCACCACCCAAAGGCCTGGATGAGACATGGACTGAGTTAAGGCAGTCTGTTCTGAAATGCCACAGGCATACAGTGCATCTCAGTCCCGGAAGGCATGCGGTTGGAGCAGTTGATCGAGTTGATCGCATGTTCGGCTCAGTTATTGGGGCAGGTAGCAGATCGGGGTCAGAGATCTGAAGGTTGTTGTTTAAAGGAGGGCTGCCATGCATTGCAGCCATGCATTGCAGCCTGACAGAAAATGAGAGGAAGAAGAATAGAACCAGAAAATGAGGTTCGGAGTATTATTTTTATGTTCTTTCATGTTTCTCTGACCCCAGTGGCTTTCAGTGGCTTTGAGCTACTCTTGGCCGCTCTCATGGGATGTGGCGCCTCTCAACGGACAGACCGAGTTGACTCGTCATTTGCACCAGCGAAGGTTGAGCCAAAGGTTGAGAAGGCCGGACCCACATGGATTCAAAAAGAAAAGCGGACTGCTGGCTTTGCTAGCTTGCAATGATTACCCTGGTTTTCCTTAAGGCGATGTTTATTTGCCCTGTGGGTGAATCCCCACAGGTTTCCCTGTGGGTTTCCGGGACTCTTTTTCTGGTTCCCTAAGAAAACACAATTACAATTGTGAATTTGAGGTAGGATCGCTCTTTGTTGAGCCAGGTTGTCACACTATGTTGTGTCTGCCGCCGTTTGGCTCCTAGGGCCCTTGAGCTATACCGTGCTCGCATCGCACTGAAAAGAGCGTGTGGACAGTACGATTCCGGTTGCTACCGACATTGGTATACTGATCCAGGTCATTGGAATCGTAGAACCAAGCCTGAGCTTGCTTTCCTTGCGTGCTTTCGCTTGCCTTCTCTGATCCCGTTGGGGACAGAGACCGGAATAGATTGCTTGTCCATTGCCGGACTCAAGTTTCATTCGGGTAGCACTGGTGACAGGGTAGGCAACCTCCTTGAAACTAAGAGTGGGTCTTACATCTATTGGGGAGATCCTGCATCATTTCATGATTGGAAATTCCGCACCGAACTCCGCATCAAGCTGTACGACCAAGCCCAAACGCAACAAGCAAAGAAGCAGGATCCCGCTGATGGACCTGCTGATGAAGGGGAGCCTTGGCCACCAGAGTCGGATGAAGGATTCGCATTCCCTTCGCCAGGGCACTATCCCGAAGAGTTTGAGCCCGAGCCGCGTGAAACTGCCGGTCCTCCTAAGTCAAAGGCTTGTGCAACATCACCAAAGGCTTCGTCCGTTAAGTCAGACAAGTCGAGTATCATCGATCGTAGTGTCTTAGTGAACAAGATCGTAGAGGGTCTGAGAGGTGATGCCTTTTTGCTTGCCAGAGACTTAGGCCTAGAGACGCTCGCTCGTCCAGGGGGACTGGAGCGCCTCGTTGAGGTGATATGTAACCACGTGTTTCCTCGTGCCTTGGAGGAGAGCAAGGAGCTTTTTCGCGCAGAACAGAAACTGTCGAGACAGCCTACAGAAAGCATGTTGTCGTACACTCAGCGTCGACGACGCTGGTGGACTTTGCTGGTTGAGCTTGACCCCACGATGATGATCTCAGAAGCTTTCCGCACAGAGCTATTGTTGGAGATGTCAGGTATTTCCCGGCAGGAGATCCTCGTGGTGAAGGCTTCTTGCCGCAAGAGCGATGACTTTGAAGGCACTGCACGAGTTTTGGTTGACAACTACAGTGGAATCCATCTTCGTGAAGGATCCCGATCCTGGACGGGACGGGGAATTCAGCCTCAGGTAGGCAAAGGTAAGGGGTACCAAAAGGGGTACCAAGGTAAAGGTAAAGGTAGTTGAAGGATTCCACATAAGGTGGCCCCCTCTATTGAGGTACTGTACATTTGTAGCTCCACTTGGTTGTTCCTGGACATCACATGTCTTACCAAGGTGTATCACTCATTTTGGATATGATCCGACTTTTGGCTCAAGCACTGTCAAAACCGCGCGTTCATTCGTTACGTCGATCGGAGGCGTGTCGTCGTAACAACAGGTTAACAGCCTCACCTGTCTCTTTCCATATTCGTGGTACTTGCTTGATTGAGCCCAAGTGTAGTCCCACATCCATATATCCATCTCATTCGCTTTCGTGCCAACATCGGTTTGCAAGGCACTTGTGCGTGAGCTCAGCGAAGCAAGAAGCAGAGCATCTTGGCAAGGACTGTTCAGGGTGCATCAGGGCTGGTCGTCTGCACTCCCGTGCAGCCCCAGTTCCTGAAAGAAACCAACTTCCATATTAGAGAGTTTAGGAATTGCCAGCAACTGCATTCGGTAAGTGATTCGACTTGATAGTCCCTGTCCCTCAAGAGAAACTGGTACTGAGTTGAATCGTGTCAAAGACCTGTCGAGTGCATTCGCTGTTGAGTTGAGACCCACTCCAAAGTGTGTTCTTAGTTTGGCATTTTGCCAGAGATCTCAATACTTGTGCAAGGGCATTCGTCTTGTGAGATCCTAGGAGCTTAGTGAACCAAAGGTATCAAGAAGCCAGTGCGTGTGACGTTCCGTCGTTGTGGCTGAAGCAAGCAAAGTAGTTTCACTGCAAGCGTGTTTCACCGCAAGCGTTCGTTTCACTGCATTGCCAAGCGTTTGTTTCACTGCAAGCGTCCTCTTGATACTTGAAGCAACGGGTGCGTTCTTTCGAGTTGCATGAGCCGTCGTCCTGTCACTCCACCGCGGCCGAGCCGCCGCCCTGTCACTCCTCCGCGTCCGAGGAGGGAGAGATCGCGTTCTCCGTTGACTCGGCAGCAGGAGGGATTGGTTCACGCGTTTCAGCGGAACGTTGCGACTCGGAGAGGAGGCCGACAGGCTCGGGCCAGGACCCGCGGCATCCATCGAGGTTTGTTGCAGGTGCTTCACGAGAGGATTCTGCGTGTGTTGGAGCAGCTTTGGGACCGAGCGGACAGGCAGGTCTACGAGGATCGTCTTCGACAGATCGAGGAGAGGCAGGCTTTTCTCGAGCGTGGCTATCCAGAGAACAAGTATATACTGTGCTTCCGAACATCAGAGATTTTTACATTGTTGGCGGTGCTGAAGTTCCGTCGGACATTGAGTCGGTATCTTTGGTGGAGACCATTGTTGATTCGGAGGAGGAAAGGGACGAGCCGATTGTTGTGGAGGACGGGCCTCTTGATTTCGCAGTGCGTCGCGAGCTTGAGCGTGTTTCTTCATCATCGACCATCGAGCACATTCGTCTTGTTGAGCGGCGTGAGGCACCAGACGTGCTCAGGCCGCAGTTGATCTTTCCTCCGTTGCCGGGTTGGAGGCAGTGGGAGCTGGAGGTGCAGATTGAGGACGGTTTGGCACGGATTCATCCACAGACTCGTTTGGTGGTGTCGTGGGATTTCCATCAGGCGCTGGATTGTTTTCGGGTGTCCTCAAGGCAGAGGGAGCATTGCGAGAACGGTCGGTTGCCTTCACAGGTACAGGATACATTGGCTCGCGTGGCGGCGTTGTCCAGCAATCCGACTCAGATCGTTACTTCGTATTGCTATCAGACAGCGACAGTGAACAACGTTTTCCATCATTGTCGACCTCAGCCAGAGTTTGCAAAGATTGTCGTGACTCGCAAGCCAGCCGGAAGGGTTGGTAAGTTGCAGACCTTGCTCCAGCTCATTGACACGTCTCGGTGCTTTCTTCTTCACGTCGACGATAGCCCAGAAGTTGTCGCAGAGTGGCGGGAGTACATTGATCAGAATCCGGGCTGCAACTTGGCGATCTGTGGGATCATGGTGCCACGCAAAGCACGCGATTCCATTGCAGACTATCGAGCGAACGTCTACGAGGTCTGGAACAGCATTAGGGGTGGAAGGTTTGGTTGAATAGAACCAGAGTTTGCAAAGCAATCATAGAGCAATCATAAGTGTCGATCTTTGCAAAGCAAATTTGATCCCTTGTTTGATTGCCACCCCTTTTGCCAGTGTTCTCAAGTTGACAGGCGTTGTCTGCATCAGTTGCAGCTCGCCGATCGAGGGGTGAAGGTTCTCGTGCATCTTTCCATCAAAGGTGAAAAGGTGCGAGTGAGTCTTTGCTTGATCACATCTAAGTATATAAGTTACTTGTTTGTTTGTGTGAACCCATCCTATAGTGTTTGAAGGGCATTTTGCTCGTGAGTTCCCATTCAAACATGCCCACAGTAGCAGAAATCATGGAAGAAGCCGATAACTCAGAAGAGGCATCATTGCAGGTTTCTTCGACCTCACCAGAAGCGATTCCAATCATGGGTAGAGCTTTGCAGGCACGTGAAACTGCTGGTTCGGCTAGTAGGTCATCGAGCTCATCGTCGTCTCGCCGTGCATTGCAGTCTACCCCACAACCGTCTTCTCAGCTAGCAGTACGGAATAAGACTAAGAGAAGCCAAGATGGTCATACATCATGTCGTAGTTCGAGCGTGCACAGCAGCAACCATAGACCACCAAGACCGAGATCACATCGTGGAGAAGGGTCCATTGTTCCGGTCGGATCTGGTGCTGTTACACCGGTGCCCAAGGTTCAAGGGTTAGTGTCAGAGATGAGTGATGTTGAAGCAGATGGTTCACCAACAGTTCAGGTTCATGCCACCAAACAGAATCTTTATGACCAAAGGTCCATGAATGTTCAAGTAGGCATTGATCCCGGTCAGGTGATCCAACATGTTCAATCCGTAGAAGCTCAAGCCCATTCCATGGTGCATGAAGCAGTGACACGTATCCATGAAACCCAACAACAGGCCGCCAGTGTAGTCCATGAAGCTCGGTTGAAAGCTCAGGGAGTAGTGCATGAAACTCAACTGCAGGCCCAAAGGGTTTATGATGAAGCACAAAGTGCACTCCATCAGGCTAGGTCACGTGCAGCTACTGTTGAAGATAGAGCAGGTGTGTTAATCCAAGAAATGAATGCTAGGCATCAAGCTGAATTGACCAAAGCACAGGATGTTGCAAACCAGCTCCATCACCAAGCACAGGTTCGTTCGCAAGAAGCAGATGCCCAGATTCAGAAGCTAATGGCCGTAGTGGAGTCCCAAAGTCAGGCACTTGATAC